GAAATATATTTTTTAACCGCTATTTTTATAAATTACTTGTTTCTGTGGCATTTACGGTCATTTTCTTCCTTAGAAATGTTGTTTCACAGTTGTTTGGTCCACAAAGCACAGACCTTCTCTGGCTTCTGCCTTAACTAACCAGCCAGTATAAATTTCTCTTGAAATTCACAGCTGTCTTCACTGAATGTGAGTAAATGAGCCTGTCAGGTTGAGCTGACTAAACTTTTCTTGTCTTTGGGATGCAAATCCTTTTAAATATATTTAGGTCATATCTATTTGATTTTCATGGGACATGGGGGAGGGGGAAAAACTTCTTCATGAAGGAAAGAAAATGAAAAATATGTGCTTTAAATCACTATTCAAAGTCACTGTCAAAGTCATCATGCTCTGTGCAAGAACCTGGAGACACTGGCCTTCTGTTTCCCTTATGTTTGTGTGAGAAACAGGATTTCTCTCCATTGTTTTAATCTTTTGCTTATGTTTTAAACCATATTGGGGGTGTGACTGGTAGCTGTCATAGGAGACTCAGGTGCAATTTAGTGACTAGTTCAAATTCCATAGCTATACTGCTGGTAGTTAGATGGTTTTAATGCCTGTCTAAAGTTGTTCATCAAATTCCTCACCACTTTCCATATTCTTTACCTTTCTGTCCTGGATACCCAGCAATCTGCTTCTTTTAAAATAACGTTCCCTTGACACAAAGTCTCAGAGCACCGCTCAAAGTTGCCCAGCTCATATTTAATTCATGTTTGGATTTCCCCAACTGGAGATGCATAAGTATATATTATGACCAGAGACTGGAAAACCCCAGATATTCAAGAGCTGGATAAATAACTCTTAATAACATGGAGCATAAAGTACTTGTAGTACCTCTTAGTCCTCCACCAGCTCATAGGCAGAGGCAGAAACAGGATAAAAATCAGTGCTGTGCTCAGATAGTGCAGCATTTCAGACATGATCATCCTTAACACAAATCCCTCTTTACTACTGGTTTATATAATAATTTTGTCCAACTTTACGTCAGAGCCACATGCCCAGTCTGCCTTAATGTATATGAAAAATCAGACATATGTAATATTCTAATAGTTCTATGGTAAAATTATGCTGAAAATTTTGTAAATTTTTATTGCAAAAGTGTAAGAGTTTTCATCTTGACAGATGATAAAATGTATAATTCACTGTGTGCAGAGGGCTGGTCTGGCTTTGCAGAGGTGGGAACCAAAGCTTAATACCATCCAGCAGTCTGTCTGTCAAGCTTTCCAGTTACAAAAGACATATTTTATGGTGTTTCTGGAGAATAAAGGCCTTCTGAGCTTTTTGCAGCTGGATTCTGAGGTCATGTTTTCAAGAACATTCAAAATGCAGATGGGAGAGGAGACATGGGTGCAATTTTCATTAGCAGTTGGGTTTATTAAGCAGCTATTATTAGGTACCAGTTCTTCCCAAATGTAGATACCATTAAAAGTCTGGCTTATGACATTAAAGGTAAAATTACACAACTGACTGCCTTGAAAGTTCAGAACATTTTTAAAATACATTGCTTAATTCCACCGAAGATCATAAATTGAACTGGATTGAGATCATATAAAGGATTTCTTAACATGTGGTTGGGATGACTTGCATAATCTACTTTTATATGACTTATAATCATAATCAAACTGCTGTTTGTGAGCAGTTAGACCACGGCAGACCATGGTCTGAAAAATCAAACGTGTAAAGAAAAGTGAAGATTGCTGATGACAACTGGAACTAAATATTATAAAAAGTTCTTAATTTGAACAGTCCTGTAATGGAATCACAGTGAGAGGACTCTGCTTAGTCTTTTCCCACATAATAATGGAGAAAAGAGTTGTAAAGATTAATTATTTATGAAGACAGCCTGTATATTCCACTGCTTAACCCATGCTTACAACACCAAAGAAATCTTCTCCAGTTGAAGACTCTGACTGTGGTAAGAACAGGAGTTTTATGAGGACTGACAGAAGAATTTTAATTCTGTGCCACATTTGCCTCTACTGTTCCATGGGTTTAGCCTTGCCCAGTTTAATGCAACAAGCTCTTTCCCAAATTCAGGATTGTAGTTTTTTAGCTCTTAGCCAAATCAGACACTGTGGTTTATATTTTATATTTATACTACAAGTTCTGGTGTGACAGAGGTTTCAGTTGGATACCATTTGCTGTGATCAGAAGTGTGCTTTCAAATAATTTTAAATATTTTATAGATTAGCACCCAAAAGGAAGCAGAACCTTGAAGAAAACTGCTACGTCAGCTCCTTTTCTGTGACTGCTGATGAATTAATGATTATTCTTTTACATCCCTTAGACTAATAGCAGGCATGAAAGGCTTCATGAAAGTATTCAGGATACCCACAAATATTAGAAGAGGTGGAGTCCTAGATAAGTTGTGGTGAGCTGGGGCCAGTCACTGGGAGAGGGGGAGTTGTGGGTCACTTTCTAATGCAGGGAGTAACTGTCTCCTGGGAGCATCCCAGGTTATCTACAGGCAAGAGGAGCAAGGGACCACTGCCTGGGGGTCTTCTTTACTTGTTGCATTTGAACACATTAAATAGTGAAAACTTGCATCAGAGTGTGTGTGTGTACATATATATGTGTGTATACAAAGGGAAGGGGAGAGGGGAGAGAGGGAGAAAATAAACACGTGGTTTATATATTTGGATTTGTGTAAAAGTAGAGAAATCAAAGGTATTTGATTTTAGATTGGCAAATTAGACAAAAGAAAGAAAAAAACATATACACACAGCTGTTCCTCTAATGAGGAGAGGGAGAGAGAGATGTTTCCAAGAGCCTGGTCCACCATAAGCTGTTGATTAATCAAACCAGCCATTATTTAATTCAACTTTCTCTGAAGTATTGAGGGTTTTTGGAACACCCTAAAAATCAAAATGTTTGGCTTATCTAAATCACATACAGTATTTTTTTCCTCATCTCTTTCTTTTTGATGGAGTTTCCATTTGACGCTTGTTTGGTTTTGTTTTGTATCTTCAGTTTCAATGTTTCAGAAAGCAAAGCAGTCTGGAGTTAAGTGGTGTACAGAGCCTGGTTGATCTTCTTCAATCCTCTAAAGCTACCTTCAATGACTGTCTTATTAGTGGGATAAAGAAAGGTACAGTGCTCCACGGGACCAGTGTTTGTTCTTTCTGCGCTGTGCTCTGAAATAATTTCTCAAGGATCTAAGTGGATGCTGAAACAGCAGTTTAAAAATTCTTTGCTTTGATCTGAAATACCTGATAAAAACACATGGATTTTCTGGAGTTCTTCTTTCTGTGTTTCTATTATTTTTATTTCATTTACCAGCCTGAATGACTCTATTAATGTCTTGTAGCACATAGGTAATAAATGTTAGGCTACAGATGACGACAAAACCCCGAAGTGATTTGTCTAAAAGGAAAAAGTAGCAAGGGAAGAGTGGAGAAAAAAAGCAATAACCTGAGATCGGATGTTATTTATGCTTTTACAGTGTTTATACATGTATGTATGGACAAATGTCAGCTACAACCCAGGTGTAACTTTGCCCTGTTGTTACCCACTTGCAAAAGCATCAGTCCCCTATTCATTGTCAGCTATTTAAATGGGCTTCTGAGATAAGAACAATGACATTTTCAAATGTTTGTTTCCCCTTTCTTATTAAAGGCTGATGTCTGTCCTGTACGTTGCTATAGTCCCTATTTACTCAAAACCCACAATAACCTGTTCCCTCTAATCCAAGCTGCCCATCCATGCAAATGTTGCATGAGACTTATCTAAAAGATGGGCTTGTCCTAGCATCCTTATCTCTGTGCGTAGATCTGTGAACACACTTCACAATCGTGTACTGTGTGTGCACTGTGCTTGCCTGGGCCATGTCAGGTCTGGGGCTGCACAGAAGGGGAACTGGGAGTGACTGTACTGAGCCAGGAGAGGAGACAGCAGACCAGGATGCACTCATAGCCTGAATCATAGAATCATAGAATCAGCTGGGCTGGAAAGGACCTCTGAGATCATCAAGTCCAACCCTTGATCCAACACTGCTGTGGTTACCAGACCATGGCACTAAGTGCCACATCCAGTCTCATCTTAAAAACCTCCAGAGACAGAGAATCCACTACTTCCCTGGACAGCCCATTCTAATGCCTGATTACCCTCTCTGTAAAGAATTTCTTCCTAATATCCAACCTAAACCTCCTCTGGCAGAGCTTAAGACCATGTCCTCTTGTCCTACTGACAGTTGCCTGGGAGAAGAGACCAACCCCCACCTGGCTACAACCTCCTTTCTGAGGATCGCTGGAAGTTCAAAACTGTCATTCTTTCCTCTTTAAACATTATCCTTACATTCCTCCGTAATTTTACTCCTACTAGTGATGTCCCAGCAGCATTAGCAATGAGCCAGGGCACCAAGGGCCTTGCCAGTTCTTTTTAACATCTTCAAGCTATTTTGAGCCAGTGGTGCTGTGTCTGGCAAAGTGGAGCCCATAAATGGTGTTTTCCTTGCTGGGCTTTAATTGGCCTGTGACAGTGACATTGACATTGCAGTTGCAGACACATGCAGATTGGAAATTAATAGACTGAGATTGATAGTTATGACAGCATTTAAAAGTCAGACCATCCAAACTCTATTAAATCACTTAATAAAAGCTGAGTGAAAGTATCTAAGAAGCATGAGAAAACCTTGGATTACCTTATTTAAATTTGATACTTAATGAAAATATAAATATTTAAAACCCATGAAGTTATTAGCTAAATTAACCAGAATTATTTTAAAGGTACAATTTACTCAGCCAGATCATCAGTCAAGGCAATCTTCATTTAAATTGTTGGAGCTATGTCATCATACACAGCTTGAGCTCTACATCATAATACTGATAAAGTCATATATCTATTTTTAAGTATAATTACATTTAGAGCATGAGGGTTTTTTTGTGACAGCTACATACATGTTTTTCCTATGATTTAAGAACCATAAAACCATAATATATTAAAAGAAACCAGTTATGATAACTTACCATTCTGTAAAGTTTATCCTCCAGATCCTGATTAATTCTTTGTAAGGCTAGGTAATTGTTTTGTATCCTAAAACAAAGATGATATCATGTAATTGAATGCATTGTTTTTCATGTTTTTTATCTGTATTTTCACATCAGTACAAAACCTTGGCTTGCATTATTTGAAATCTATTTATTTATCACTCCTGTTGCCAGTCAGTGGTTGCCTTTGAAATGCAATTACCACCTGCTTCCTAAGCAAACTTCTTTCTCATGTTTGCTTACTATATTTAGCAGCAAATTCCATCAGGAAGTGAAAATTTGTTGGCCATTCTGCACTTGCATGCAGCTTAGGAACTTGCACAAGGAAATTGTAGCTTTAGATCAGGCTCAGGAATAATATGTTAGAGAGGAAGCTTGAGCTGTAGGCTTAGGCAGCAGAAAAAAAATTGTGGAGGTCTCTTAATAAAAAGAATTGCAGCAGAATCCTCACAACTGTAGCAACATTTGGGCATCAACATCATGACTTAGAAGAGAATATCTCTTCTTTACACCAAAGTTCAAGGGACTGCCTATTCTCCAGACCTAAACACATCTTTCTTTAGGAAATGTATTTAGATACCTTAGATGGGTATTTCTTTTTAGGAATTGAATGGACTGAAAAAATGAGGCTTTCCTGCTTATTCCAGAGCGATACACCAAAGAAAAGTTTCAGCCTGTGCATCTTTAGGCTACTTAGATGTTAGTCTTAGTATTGTAATGAATAAGCTGCACAACCTGTGGGAAAAACATTGCTATTTTGGTAGTAGCTGTACCTTTCTCTTCACAGAAGGTAAGGAGGGTAGCTCCTTGGTCTTGTTAGTACCCATCATCTCAGCAATATGTATTACAAATGTAAAGCAAATGTTAGAAGCTCAGCTGTGAAAAGTTTGTCTGAATAAATCAGTATGTTTGTACTGATCAATAGGTCAAAGTATTTTCATCAGTGAGCTGATTTTAGGTAATGTGTGAGTGTGTTGGCTGTAAGAGTGAACTCAGATGCAATACACATATACAGCAGAAAGGGACTTCCTCTGAGAGTAGTTTCCGTGGTGATCAGGAAGGGACTGGGATTAAAGAAGTCTCTTGGATTTATCATTTGGTTAGTTAGAGTACCCGTTGAAACTGAAATGAAGATCTGTATTTGAATCATGCCATGGCTGCAAATCAAAGGGTCCAGCCCACCCATTCCTGGTACATGATGCTTCAAGTCTCTCCCAGCTTCTGTTGCCATGGAGATTTTCTTTCCAGTTAAATGATCAGAATTCTCCATTCAGGGCAGGCCAGTGGCTTGCAGTGCCCCTCTTGAGGCGTGAAGAGCTCTGGCTGGGGCTCCCAGCAATACGATAACATCTGCTGCACGGACCTGAGAGGGGATGTCCGTGCCAAGGACATCTGCTCCGTGGATATAAATAATGACATCCCCATGGGTGAAAATCCTCAGGATACCAAGGGTCAGACTGGACTCAGGGCAGCCATTTCCAACATTCATTGCAAGCCTGGGGGAAGTTTCAATGTTGTCTACGTTTTGCAGAGCTGCTGAGCAGAGGCTTCCTCCCTGTGAGGAGGATCTATGGTAAAGAGTGTTTGCTAAGGTGCTGACATAAATGGGCTGAAAATCTGTGAGACTTGTACCATGAGACTTGGTCATTGCTCACCAGTTCTCATAGTGCCACTGTGTTCATGTCCAGGTGACTTAAAGGATTGACTGAAGTTTACAATTCTCTGCGTCGTCCATGCTCCTCACAGCATTTACCACTAAAGCTCTCTACAGACATTTATTTTTCAGCTCTAGTTGTATTTGGGATTTTCACAGCTATTTAGCTGTCAACACAACAGAGACAAATCTCAGGGTACTCTGTACCCAGCTTTTCGTGGCACAAGAGAAGGCAGAGATGATCTTGATAAACAGTGGAAACAAGGATGGTTATAATGGCTTTGCCTGCAGCTACTCAGCACAAATATTTTGTTCTGCTGGTAGGGCCAAGTGCTGTGGTGCAGGAAGCAAGAATTTAGAAAAACAAAATAGGGACTGCTGGCTGAGACTGGAAGTGTCCCAGTATCTTCTCTGTCATGGTCTACATTTTTTGTCTAGTAAAGCAAAATAGAACAGGTTAAACTTGCGTTGCACCCAGAAAGCTTCTGGCTCAAGTAGAGGTGGTGTAAAAACTGATTTAAACAGTTAACACCTGCAAGAGATTACATGGGTTCAAAAGTATCTGCATAAATTCCTGAAAGAAAAGAGGGCAAAAAAGTTGGTTCAGAGCTTTTCTAGCTTAGGCATCTCTCTAACCCATTCTGCTGTGCAGTGGTGACCTATGTGGACAGCTCAAGGGAGACTCTAAAGGTTCCCTTTCTGTAACTTTGAGACCATGAATAAAAACAATAATTGCTTCTTGAATATCGGACTTGTGATGGTGACAATGTGTCACTGGATTTATTCCTCAGCTTCTGTTGTCACTTCTTCTCTTGATATGGATGACTGAAAGGTTGATTACCATTAATATAATTGTTTCTCAATGACAACACTTCCATGCCGAGATGGTGATAGAGGGTTTTTGCAAGAGATTATCACGATCTACTTGTCTGTTTGTAACTTCTTTTGCCTTTGCCTATCAAATCTGTTTGGGAGAAAGTAGCCCACAAACATTATTTCTCTAAGACATTTATTTTGCACTGAAAAAATTGACTGCCTCCCAGTAAAGTCAAATCAAATCTAAAAAAAAATCCACAGTAAGTAGGAAGTTAAGCTTCAAAAAGTGTTTCTATTGAGAACAGTATGCAAAGGTAGTCAAAATAAGCACAAACATGTACACACATCACAAGCACATACACATGCACATATAAGCAAACCCAAATTGGAAATTCACTGTGCCAAAAGAAGCATCAGCAAATGTAGGTGGCAAGGAGAGAAATGGACCCAGAAATATAGGGAAGGAAGTGTTCAAAGAGGAACAGAGGCAGATCAATCTTTGGGCTAAACTCTAAAATAAAGCAAAGGAGAAATAAAGAGCAGGGGAAATTATTAAAATTTGAAAATGATCAGATGAACAAATGGTAACTTAACCCTGTTTGCAGAAAACAGACACCCAGGTAGCCTGAATGTTGTGAGGTATGAAATACTTCAACATTGTAAATCTGGCTTTGTAATAAGGTGAAGAGTAGGTCAGCTTCATTACCCTGTGAAACTGCTATAAGGATAAACTCATGTGAGTCAATAACCTATTATCATTTACTGATGGCTTTTGTCTTGTTTGTATTATTAGATGTTATGCATGTGACTCGAGGTGCATGTATCTGCACCCGTTAAATGCATGTTTAGACTCTTGATCAAATTAGGGTCTAATGAAAAATATTCTGACTGTGTTAAACATTAAGTATCTATGCTTTCTTTACAGAAGCAAATTTCTCCCAGAGTGCAGTTACTTTTGAAGAGTGGCTGTTAAAGTAGCAGCTTCTTGTTCAAGAAAACTTTTGTCTCTCTGTTGTCACACATTACACCAACTTCCATATGAAAACAAGAGAGTTTTCCCCCCAGGACTTCTGTGACCCCCTTCAGTCTGTGAATTGTCTTGCTTTTGGTGAAACGAAAATTTGTGGGGGCTAATTTCACTGCTAAATACATGCTGGTATGGGTTTTACCCTATTTCCTGGTAAAAGATAGGGTGGGGACCTCAACAAGTTGTTATCCAGAGTAGGGTCTCAAAAAGGAAACACCATGCGAACTTCAGAGTCCAGAATTAGTTCCAAGACTGGTTTCAGATTTTTTTTTAAATTTTAATTCATAAAAGCCATGATAATCCACTGTGAGGTATATGAAAACCCCAATCTCTTTTCAGTCACTTTTCAAAACTGAACTTTACAGTTAATATTTTCAAACCTACTCAGCACTGTTCTGCTTTTTCTCTGGGAAAAAAAAAGAAAGAGGCTACTTCTAAATGTTTGTAGTGAGGTTGAAAACTTGACCATTGAGCCGCATGAGTCACTTTCTCACTTGGGTGAGAGGGGAGGTCTAGCAGCAAAACAGTTAATTCTGGATAAATTAAGATAAAGAGTTTCAGAAAGGATTAAAAAAGGATGACCATTCAGCCTCTTTGAAAAAATTTCCACTTTACAGTAATGGAAATTTAATAACAGAAATGTTCTCTAGTATGCAAGTGGGATCTTATTACAGAGGGCTTATTTATTTAGGGAGGGGTAAATTTCTCTCCCTTTGCAGTGAATAAAGGAAGAGACACATTATTGAAACTAATTCTACTTCTTTGTTTTTCTCATATTGCTTTTCCTCTGTGACATGTTGCTGACATGCTGTTGGATGACAGGGTTTTTTTCAGACATTATCGTTCTCCAGGTTGAGAAATCTAGTCATTCAACTTGCAGTATGCCTTGCTATTCTCAATAGAAACGTTTTTAAAGCTCACCTCGTAACATATTTTTGGCTTCCATTATGATATGTCTTCAGGGGAGTAATCACCTGCCTGAAACATAATTTTTAATATAAGTTTTCTTCATAATACGGTACAATGTTCCATTAGAATATTGGAAAGTCAGTTCTGCTAATGTGATGTTTGGGTATGAGTGCTAGACTTTGCAGTGAGCACTTGGCCTGAGTTTCAAAGGGTGCTTAACTCATTAAAGCCCAGTGAAGTTGATAAGAGACTTCCTACTGACTAGGAAGCCCCTTTGTTTTAACAGAAGTGGGATGGTCAGCCCCTCTGCTGCTTTATGACAGCTGTCTGAATTAATGGTTCAGAAAATAAGAGTACCAGTGTTCCCTATCCTGGAATGTATCAGAGGAAATTAGATCAAGAATGAAGTTACTTTAAATGGCTCTACTCTAAGTGAAATGATAGGAAAAATATTGTTAACAATAAAAAATGTTTCGGAGAATCTCCAGACTGCTCTGGATAGACATGTGTAGATTTCAAAATCCCTGTGTCACCTGCATATTTTAGTCTTGTTTTAAGAAGCATCCCCAGATAGGGAAGCATTTAAGTTATAAGACCACACTAGGATGTTTCCTAAATTATGATCTTACAGATTCATTCTGTTTAAAATTTTCATTTAGTGGTTTGGTTGACTCAGTTTATTGGTGTTTTCTGGCTTTGTTTGGTTTGGCTTTTGTCTTCTGCAAGAAATGAAAAATATTTCTTTGTGTATAGCCCTGGAATGATTTGTTCTGAATTTAATTTTGACTCATCCAATGAACTAAATCAAACAGTTCCATTACAACATCAGTTTAGGAAAGTCTCACAAGACATGCAAATACATTCCTGCATAAATGGATAATTCTAGTATCAGAAGTTTTGCAAACAAATGAAAATGTGGATATTAAGAATCACTGATAAATTTAAAGCTAGACTACAGACAATTTTAATCACTGTCAGGAATGTCAGGAGTGCTTGCTTAACACAATTTATCATTAATATTAACTGGGTCCCCATTTTGAAACAGCACTGTACCATGGACACAACAGTTTTAACTAATAGCTTTTCAGTATCATTCCATTCTACTTGAGATTAAAAGAAATTACTTGCTGTAGCATAATGCGAAATGTCTTAATATTATTTGAATTGAACATAATCTTGGCTTTGAGTGATGAAGAGCCAAATTCTCTTGTATCAGTGCAATGAAGAGTAACAAAAGAAAATGTGCAAAGTCATTAAAAAAAGATAAATCTGTATATATGCAGTATAAATATATGTATATGTAGTGTGTTTATAACCTTTGTATTTGTAACACAATGTGGCACTAATCCTCATGCAGGTTTACACATAAACAATGCCATATATGTACCTATATAGGTGCTTTACTATTTGCATATTTGCTTTTAGTACAGAGACATCTTACATATCACATGTAAATAACTTCATGTGGCATGTAAAATATATTCAGATAAGTGAAATATATATTCAATATGAAAACATGATATGTAGTCAATAAATAATAAATTATGCATGTTTGCAACTATGCTTATTTTTACTTACAAATATCTTTACAAATACTTACAGTCTCTTGTAAATTCCTAATAACTGTTTATTTCAAAAAGTTAGTTACTAACCTTCTCAGTTTTTCAGTTACTTTTTCAAGTTCCTCCTGAGCACGTCTCAATTCTATTTCAAGGTACTGACGTGTAGAATCAAACTCCGTTTCAAGCATTTCCAGCTTATGGGTAGTGTACGATAGACGCTTTCGTAATTCCCCCTTCTGTTCTTGCAAAGTACTAGAAAAACAAAGACCACAGCTGTAGAAGTTAGCTACTCCCAAAAAGGCTTTTCATGATCCACCCTTTGACCAGTTCCCTAGAGTATAGGTTGGCATCTAGCCAGAGAAGTGTGCTTCATAATTTGTTTACTGCACTTTGAAAATCTTCTGGTATAGGCAGTTGACTATCTTCCCATCTGTCCTGTCTAGTGCATTTTTTGCTACTATCTCATTATCCATAATGGAATACTTTGTGAAAGAACCTTCATTAAAATACAAAACGTGGTTTAGAGTTTGGTTTCACACAGGAACTTTTCATTTAGAGTTATCTTACCGTACTATGATTGAAGTAGCAGATATCTATAGAGCAGCAACTCTAAATAAACCATGCAAAAATATTTCCTTGCCTAAAGTCCAAATTACAAGTTTGTGGAGGAGGAAAATTTTGTCCTATTTGATTCCATTTCCACTCCAATCCCTGGCCATATAGACGCTAAATATATTATTGTTCAGCATTTCATCTGGCAAATGGTAATTAATATAATCACAATTTTAAGGTTATGACTATTTCCCTTTTTCCCCCACTTAGCTGGGAGCCGAGAATTCCCAGACTCAGATGTAATCCCCAATTTTTTACTGTTCTTTCAGTAAAGAATTTATGCCATGATTTTAAGCTAGCTTTAGTTATACTCTTTGACAAAACAAAGCACTAGGCATAGAATTTGGGGAAAGGAGGTTTTTCACTTTATTGTTTTCTCTATTTTAGAGATGATATAAGACAGCATAAAGCCAGGTGATCCATGCAAAATTTTTATCAGGAAGACCAATATGCCATCTGCATCCAAATCATCATCATGGCTAGGCTTCACAAACGAAGATTTGGGAAAGGGTCTATCCACGTTTGTTACAAGCACGCTGGTGGCTAGTAAGGCCAATATGAGATAGACATGCCTGATTGCAAAAGACACAGCAAAAAGACTCCTTAAGTGATATATTCTGCAAGGCACGATTCTTTCTGCATTGTCTTTTCTCCTCGAGAGTGATCCTGCGTGCGTTCTCAGCATCCAAATAGTCCCTCTGGATTTGCAGCAATAAACCTGAGGATCTTTCCCTTGCTTTACTGGAGCTCAGCTGTGCCAGTTCAGGTGAGCCAGTTCTGCACGTGCCTCAATTCTTATCTGCACAGTGGACATATTTTTATCCTTGTCTATTTAGTTTGTAAGCTCCTCAGTCTTCTAGCACGTGTGTCAGTTGAACAGCAGGATGAGATTCCCATCAGAGCTGGGACCTCTGGAGGTGACTGTAACTTGGTCCAGGAACTGCAACCGAAATATTGAGCTGATCTCTTGGCTTCAGGTGGAACCTCTGAGGCACAGTGGAACTGGAGTCTGCCATCACCTAGAGACAAAGTGCTACCACATGATGCATTATGAATTATCTTGCTTTTTTTAATCATATGGTAAAAATAATTCTTCATAAAAGAATGGTGAATGTTGATTCGCTTTGATGTCAAGTGATTACTGCCACCAGCTTCAGTAGAATAATATTTTGGGTCTTTAATTAGACAAGAGGATTGGGAACAACATGTCAATCTTCAAGAAACACTTATCTGAGCTGTTTGCAGCGTGACTGGCTTCTTCTCTACAAGCTGCGATAGGAGCTCAGTGAGTTAATGCAAAAGCTTTACAATTGTTGCTTGCTTGATCCATGCAGCTCAGAGATGGGAAACAGCCTAATGTTTTGCCAACACAGTGCTCTATTTCAATTGCACATATTGCGTGGTCACAGTTATACTTAGATTACCACTTATAGTTATATTCCCTTAAAATAATATATTCTGATTCAGACATTTAATGCAGTTACAGTTAATGCAATAATTTAATTTTTATATTTCTCTTGGTGAAATAAACTCCAATATTGTCTAGGGAAATGAGAACCCATACTGCTCATTTCTACATGTCCTCATTCATGATGTTACCACATCATACCACTTTTCACTTGCTCTGCTTCTGGCCTGTTGTTCTTGTTACTCATCTGCTCATCTTGGTCAGTTTTTCTTCCTGTAGCCTGGCAACTTGGATTTTCTTCTGTGAAGTGAGAGTTACAGTGCCAAAACTGTTTAGAGTGAAAAGAGCTATGATCTCAAGTCTTCTGCTGCTCTAAAAATCTAATCACTAGGATTTGTACAAAAAGTAGACAGCAGGTCCTCCAGCTACGATTCTGGATAAAAATGGCCAGGCTGAGGCTGCTGCTCTATGCTGGGCAAATGCAGTTAATGCAAGTTAAACCAGATTAGGGAAGGTTAGAGCATCCTGCTGCACTGGGAAGTTTTGGACTCAGGAAGTTTGATCTTTGGGAGGAAGACGGGTTGTTGGTATACAAATATAATGGGAATGCCAGGGATGTTTAAGTCAGTAATAGCTAGAGACTGCCTAACAAAAGAGAAAAAAGGGGAAAGTTAATGGCCTCCAATAACTTTGTCTTCTGCTTCCTCCTGCAGGTACTTCTTGCTTTGGTAGGTTTTGGCAGCTTGAAGCTTGTGCTAGAAGGATAAACTTAACTTCAAGCTCAGTCTTCTCTCTTGAAGTTCACTTTGAAGTCTTTGTATTCTTGAATTATTTGCTTTCAGAATAATTCATTCCATTAAAATCAAGCCTATTCTAATGAGCTTTACTGAAACAGTCTACATACATGGGCTCTTCCACGTAATGTTTTGGGAGGTAAAGCATAGCTGTAACTTTGTTCAAAATAAGAAAAAACTCCCACTGATTAAGGCATAACTCAGGCAGCTTCAAAGATCAAAGTTATTCTCATCCAGCAAACCATAATTCTTAAAAACCTCTACTCATTTCCACCCAAGCTGGAATGATAGGGTGGCATCCTTAAACCCTCCCAAACCTAGGAAAACCCTTACTCATGGTGTACTTTGAGTTGCATGATCAATGTTAAAATGACTGATTGCTCTTAAGAGAATGTATAATTTTTAGATAGGAAGAATAACACCTGATTTATGATGAGATTATTTAAGATGCAATAATAGGCACCTAACATTAAGTCATTATTAACATATGAGTTTTTAGACTGAAAGGTAAAAATTTTAGAAGGAAAGAAATCTTGTTCTGACAAGAATATGCTGAATGGCAAAAAACTTATAGTCACTTTTATGGAAGAAAAAAAAAGAAGAGAGAAAGAAAAGACCCCAATTGGGAAAGCATTAAGTCATCTGCTTTAATATCCTTCTTGAGTCAAGCAAGTTCTGAAAAGATAGCTAACTTTAAGCAATATCACAACAAAATTTATGCTCATGAATGGCACAATAGGGAAATTTTCCCAAATCTTAGACTGTAACCATTGAATGGGTATTAATAGCTGTAACACTGAGAGTAGATTTCCCAGGATTCCCAGGATGGTTTTGATTTCTGCATGAATTGAGACTTATGTAGATACATTACTGGTTTGAGGTAAACCCTATTGTTTTCCCTTGATTTTGGTTCTGTATGAACAAGCACCTAAGAAACAAAGGTAAAGCAAGTGAGAGAAACAGCAGAAAGAACAAGAGCTTGCAATGTATCAAATTCTGTATTTCTAATAGCAGGATCAGAGCTTCAATTTTTGTTTTGTACAAATCTAACGTATTTCACAAGATATTTGTTTTTTTTGCTTTTGTGGTTTTTTTTTTTTTTGCATTTCTCACTAAACAGATGTTCTTTCTCTGAAAACCTTTCCCTTACCATTAGCTTCCAGTGCTATCACATAATGGCATGCTTGGATTATCATTCCTTATTCTGTCTTCCTTTTTTTTGTTGTTGTTCTAGAAGTCTGAGGTTTTCATGAGGAGGGCTTAATTTTGCTCTGTACCCCTGTAAATTTGGTAGTGGTAATTTAATCAGAATTGAAAAGGGAAAAAAAAAAGTCAAAATATGGAGTAACAAAGTCAACCATTTAACATTTTTGCTTTTCTCCAAACCAATCAACTCCATAAATTACCTGCATTTTGTTTCTGCTTGTCACATACCAGTTAATTAGAAAAGTTAATTGAGCAATTTTTTAATGCTGCTAAATCACTATATTTTAATTCATAACTTGTCTTCTATGCATAGTTGGTCCTCACAGCTCTTTATTGATATATATATGTAAAACTAAGAAAAGAGTTGAATGAAAAAAGTACCACCAGGAGAAAGGAGAGGACTTATTAGCAAATAAAAAATACTGTCTGGAAATCTCATAGTGCTATGTCTTAGAAAACACAAATCCTATATTTCATTATCTTTATGAAACTCAGAGAGCAGGAAAGAGTATGGAATTACGGGACAGGCTCAAAAATGCCGTAGACTATTCCATCTTTAGCATAAGTGGTTCTCTGTTTCTTTCAATGTTTTTTAAAAGTCCTACTCCTGTGACAATCAGTGGTTTGCAAGTCATTAACTACTTTGTTTCATTAAAATATTTCTTTAAAAACAAGAACAGTAAACATAATATTAAATATTTAGACTGGTGAAAGAAAACCTCTCAAGGGAAGCTACTTTAAAGGTTATTAAAAACAGGTCTTTAAACTTTCCAATGCATTATTTTCACCAATTAGCTCTGTTTATTCTCATATATAAAATAGATATGAAAACATATATTTGCACTGAAATTTATGCCCACAAACATTATCTCAGCCTGCAGATGTCGGTCAGGATTAATCTGTAGTGCTGGTTGGAGAGGATCCAGGCGAACATATTTCCACTGGATTTCAGGCAAAGCTGAGATGCCACATGGTGACAGCCTATTCTGAGGAAGGTTTGCTGGAAAACAAGCAGGTTTTCATTGTACCTGTCTGATCTTCTGCCAGCTCATCTGCCTGGCAGATGGTCTGATGACAAAGGAGTGATGGCATGCAAAGTTGGGGCTGTTCAGTTGCCTGGAGGCCGGAGGATTTGTTACCCTCAGAGGAACAGAATTTGTTACTCTTTGTTAAGCAAAGAGGGTGCTCCCTGGATTGTTATTCCATGAGAGTTGATTTCTATGAGTCTGTCC